GATTCAAGAAGTTATTACCTCATATCTTATCATTTTTTGCAGTGTACAGGTGCGCTTTCTTGTCCAGAAAGTACAGTAATTGTAATGTCTTTGCAGTAAGAATTTTGACATGATTTTTGATTTGATTGCTGCATCACTACATTTCACATTCATCAATTTAGCGTGAAGGACCGATTTCTAAGACAGCCAGTCATCTCTCAGCCAAACCAAACATCGGCCTACAGGGATTCTTCTCACAGTATAAATTATATATCAAGTGTTTAATGATATGAAATGATATGAAACCCGCATTATGTGATTCCAAACCTGGGTAGCCTGCAAAAATAAAAAAATAGCAGATGAAAAAAAATATGGAATTATTTTATATGCACCACGAGATGTGACATTTTGGAAAAAAACTGTCCTTCATCAGACATAAAGAAACTTGGCTATGATTTGTACTGTATACATTTCCTGAATAGACAATAATCATGTATTAATTATATTAAAGAAAAAAGTGAGGTACTCAACATTTATTAAGGGGAGAACAAAAAAAATCAACCACAGTGTTTAAAGTAAGAAGTACATTTTATAGAATTGAACATGAAAAACAAAATAATATCTCATAAAACAAATATAAAAATTTCTTCACAATTGGCGCAGGCATTTTTCCATTTCATTGTGAAATCGTAATCGAAAACTAAATAAATATTGTTTGGTTTCTTGTATTTCTTAATTTGGAGGGTTGGCAATGTGATCTCTCATTTTCCCCAGAGTTGACAGATAAAATAACAAAACATGTAAAATATCTCTTTCTGCCCTACAAACAAACACACATTTGACAGCAAAGATGGCAACGTTCCAGTTCCAGCAATTACACAAGCCGCATCTTATTACAAAAGTCAAAGGTTTATTCAGTGTGTTTTTGCTGTGTTTCTGCGGAGGTGTGTGGAACAAAGGGAGGTTAAGTGCTGTGGGAATAGTGGGTGAATGTGGCCTGGGGCTGTTTTGAAGTGGGTGGGTCGGCTGCAGAGGCGTCCCGCGGCCTCAGAGCGGTTTGAAGGTGTGTGTCTGTGTGTGTAACCCTTGCACTAAATCACTCGTTCCGTGAGCCGCGGCGCATTAAGTGAAATCATCTTGAGCAAAAATAATAAGCTGTCCATTGTCTACCCATGAGAGTATAGTTCTGGGCTGTGGTTTTTGCTACCATTGCTAATAGCTTGGTAGAAATAAGGAGATACACAGGAGATAGAGTGACTAAAGTGAGTTGTGTGAGCTCTTTATGCAACAAAAACACCTGCAGTATAATCAAAATGCAGCAGCTCGAGTCCTGACAAGAACCAGGAAGTCCCATCGCATTAGTCCAGTCCTCAGGTCTCTGCACCTGTGGCTCAGAAAATAGACTTTAAATCAGCTCTGTGTTGTGGGCTGTGATCTGCCTGTTCTGGGGGTTTGTTATAAATCCAGACTTTTTTTTGGCCACCCTGGAAAAGCCATGTTCCAGCTTCTTCCTTTCTTGCAGAAGATTTTGTTATCTGAGATGCAGTATATCTTGATATGCAAGCTGCTTCTTTCCACAAGCTGTTATCAGTTTAAACAACGCACTTGAGTGATCTTAGTATTGATACTGTTTTAGTCGATCGATTATTATTATTCTGTTTTATTTGTTTTATTTCTGTACTTTTGTTGTCTTTTGTATGTAAAATGTATTCCAATGTGGTTTTACTGCAAAATGGCAAATAAATGAATCTGAATCTGTTTGTTACATGTCTCTCCACGGCCTCGTACCTACAGTAAGTACATCAGCGCCATGTTAGTGCCATATGTACCAAGAAGGACTCTGAGGAGCACAGGGACTGGCCTCCTGCTGGTGCCCAGAATAAGAACTAAACATGGGGAGGCTAAATTTCAGATTATTTTCCTGAAAATGTGAGACAGGCTTCTTTTCTTCTACTCTGATTATTTATGCCTTGTGTTATCGTTTCTATCTAGTTTTATTCAGCACTTAAAGCTGCCTTGTGTATGAACTGTGATATACAAATAAACTTGCTTGCCAAAAAAATACATGTAGAAATGTTGAAAATCAATAAAGGTATTATTATATTATTATCTGGATGTCAATGTCAGCTTTATTTGTAGAGCACATTCAAAACAACACCAGCTGCCCACAGTGCTTCACAGGCACAAAAGATTAAATAAAGAAAACCGCATAAAATACAGACAAATACATGTAAAAAGCAAACACTCAGTGGGTGTTAAAAAGGTGTTAAAATGTGACTTTAGACTAGATTTAAAAACCTCGAAGGAGCTGATCTAATGGGCGGCACGGTGGCAGAGTGGATAGCACTCTCGCCTCTCAGCAAGAAGGTCCTGGGTTCGAATCCCGGTCGGACCAGGGCCTTTCTGAGTGGAGTTTGCATGTTCTCCCCGTGTCTGCGTAGGTTTCCTCCGGGTACTCCGGTTTCCCCTACCACTAAAAATATGCCCAATAGTTCAGGCATGCGCCTCCTGTACTGGCGACCCCGCTCCCATCTCTGTGTGGAGTGAGAGACAAATGCCCAAAATTAACAATTGTAAACCGCTTTGAGACTCAGATCTGCAGTGAAAAGGCGGTATATAAATAAAGATTACTACTACTACTACTAACACAGGTCACTATTCCACAGACTCCTTGAGTTTTAGGACGAGACCAGGGCACGTTTAACAAAAGCTGGTTTTCTGACCTCCCTGATGTGACAGGAGCATGTGGAGATAAGGAGGTAGATAGGGAGAAAAGGCTAGCCGCGGTTCAGCAGTTTAATTTCATATGGGCTGGAAAGGAAATTTACTTTATAAACCTCAATGTGAACTAAAACGGCTCGTCCTCAGCTGACAGGGAACCTACGGCTTTCGCAAGAGGCAGGGGGTGTGGGATGTTAGTGTCCCTTGTCATCCTAAACTTGTTTTTTTTTCTATAAACCCACACTTGCACACTTACATCGTAAAACTTACTGTATTGAAAGATTTTGAAAAAAAACCAAAACAATTTGACAGACTATGTGGTTAATATACGCTCGACGTAAACTTTGAGGGGGAAAGAACAGACGCCATGTTCACAGAGCTCAGAAACACACACATGCACACGCACACACACACACACGCGCACACACACACACACACACTCTCTATGATTGGTAGCTGTGCAAAAAAACTTACTTCGCACTATACAAAAATATATATATATACTGAAACACGCTAAAAGTACCAGTCAGTAAAAGCAGAGCTACAGCAGGTGGTAGCAGGCTCTATAATCTAAATACTGGTGATAAGGGAGCACAGTCATTTCAAGGGGCCCAGAGATGACCCCACATCACGACATCAGACTCTTCAAAGAGCGGCAGGAAGATGTTATGAGATCTGAGGGACGATTTCAGCGAAAAGGCAATTTTAGTTTATGAAGCAGTCCCAGTCTGACGGAGGGAGAGTCACTCAACTGTGTCCGAGATACAAGAGCTATAGTGTTGTCTGCAGCGACAGAGGCCAAAGGGTTGTGTGTTCAAATCCATAGAAGTTTCATGTATAGAGAATAACATAGGAAAATAACAAGTGTGAATGTGTTGTGTAATAACTGCCTGTTTTAAAATTTTCTCTGAGGGATTGATTGAAGTATGTGAACAAAAGTAAGTAAGTAAATGGAGTATGATTGGTTAAACCCAGTGGGGGCGGGTCCCGGCTCAAAAGTGGCCAAAATAACGTGCGCTGACATACTTGCAATACCACCCCGGGCCGAAGGGGGTGGACCCGGAATGAGAATTATTCAATGCTAACATTTAGCATTAGCCGACCACTCGAAAACGTCTTTTCAGAATGGTCCAAAAGTCGGCTCTTGGCCCAAAGCTCTGTTCCACATGTGTGTCAAGGGGGAGGATTTTTTTGGACCACTCTAGTTTAGTTGCTGTAAAATGTTGAAAGCACTTGCTAAATGAATGGGGCTCATGCTGGCTGACGCATGCGCAGATGCGTTTTTTCACATTTTCCAGCCCCCGCGGCCATTTTGAAACTGCCCATAGAAGGAAGTTGTGGCACATTAGTTAGAACGGCGGAGATAGGCGTGACAACGTACGTTAATATTTACCGTCTTTAGTTAAACCGTATTTACAGTAGGTTAATTGTCGGGATGACATGATTCATACACAATACTATATACTAGGGGTTGGGCAATTCTTTTCTAGGGATATTTCTCTACTGCTGAGGGCTGGACCTAATTGTATCTTTAATTTCCCCAAAATCTACTTCAGTATTAAAATGTATAAATATTTATGCTTTTTTATCACTACTATTACTATATTTGAGAACAGAATAAACGTATAAATCGCCATGGTAGCACAAAATACAAGAATTCATTGGGTATTTTGTATAAGGTTAATGGCTTGGAACTGTACTGTACTCAGCTTGAGGGTGTTGTCTCTGGTCGTTTGATTGGTTAATGACATGGTGTGGACTTTTCGTCAATTACTTTTGCCTGGTTTTATTTTGATGGATTGGTTCGTTTGAGTTTGACTTCCTGTCTGTCAAGTTTATTGTGTGTGTTTAAACCCTTCTCTTCTAGGTCTGCCGGTTCATTGTATTTTTATACCTGTTTCTTTGTGGTTTCATTTTTGATTTTGCAATTCTGTTTGGACTCCTAGATCTCGTTGTTAAATTTTGTATTAATTTGGGTTCTCCCTTTGCTCATGACAGTTAATCGGTCGATGGGCTCCAAGTCGGGCCAAGATATGTATTAGTTATCAATTTTTTAATATAAATTCAAGGGATTTGTAAAAGAAAATCACAAATATATGATAATAGATGATAGCAATTGTCAGATTTTTGTTGAATTCATTAAGATTTTAAATAACAGCAACCTTATTTTCTTCTAGCTTTAGTTGCTTGTGATTCACGCCTACTATTTAGTTGACAAAAACAGGGATGTAACTCGACACACATAAAAGCACAAGTATATGAACCAGTATTTAAATCATACATCATGTTTTAGCTCTTACCTTGTTGCAGTATTTTGCCGAAGTACTTGTTGTGGCTGGTGCAGTTCCATCGGCGATACCTGAACTGGTACTGGCACTCGCGCACCCCGAGCCGCGCTCCTTTGGCCACTTCGCTCACAATCTCCGGCTGAGTTTGGCACAGCTCGGCCTGCTTCCCCACCAGCCGCTTGGCCTTCCTGCAGATGCTGTTGGGGTCCATGACGAGCGGACTGCCCACTGCCCTGAGCACACACAAACACACGTTATATGGAGCGTTTGCAACTTTATCTTATGCACTGGGGCTGGTAGAAAGTATCCGCAACAAAACAGAAAAGATCATTTTCTGGAGGAGCTCAGTCACATGAGATGAGCTCGGAGTAGAGTCACTGCTTCTCAACGTCGAGCTAGTTGAGGTGGCTCAACTTGGAGAAGACCAGGAAAAGACCCCACAGGAGGTACTATGTCTCTCAGCTGGTCTGGGAGCGCCTCTGGATTCCCCCAGATGTCCTGGAGGAAGCGTGTGGGCGTCTCTGCGTAGACTGTTGGCCCTGAGAGCCAGCAAAGGAAAAAGTGGTAGAAAATGGATGCCACTTATAACAAACGAGACATTGATCTATATTAATATATACAAAAAAACATTTCTATTGTGAAAAAGTACTATAACACTTCCATCCAGTAATTAATGCACAAAAATCCTCAAATATTTAATGTGCATTGATGAACATCCTCCTCCGATCATCCGAAATACAAGAAAAAAGGGTTTGGAATACTGCAGGTCACTAAATGTGTATAATGAGTCTGCGGTATATATGTTTTCAACAGAAATATAAAACTGCAACAGCTGACCAAAAGTGAGGGATTAGAAGCAAAACCTGAGCCATGCCTCTGCTTTAACCAATTATCAATCGTAAACAAATAAATACAATGCTATTATCATGAAACAATAGATCCCATGCAGCCGATATTGCATGTGTGAATTACTGCAAACATTATGGGGAACTTCATTAGAAACCAAAACACACACTCGCTCTGCCAGCTCCACCACTGTGTGCACTGTATGCTTCCACAGACACATATTCACATGGGAAAGAAGAAGAGGGAAGAGAGCCTTTCCTAAACACTGCCCTGTGTGGTCCACCGCGGCACTATCCTCCAAAACAGTTTTATGTTAGAGTTGATTTAGTTTAAAAACATGACTTTCTACATTTCCACTGGATACTATTCTCTAGAGATTTCCCAACAGTTATGAAACCACAGCCTCTTCAAATCAGAACCACTTATTTAAACACTGCAGATTATATCAATGCTACGGAGAAAAGCAGAGATTGTGTTACTGAAATGAAAGTTGAGCCAAATGTTGATCCACAAAGCTATAGCTGTAGGCTTTTAGTTCACCGCTGAAAAAGTACTGTTCGTTTGGTTCAATGTGTGTTGAAGAGAAATAAGAAAGTTGTCAAAAGTTTAAGTAGTTACAGTATGTTAAATAATACACATATGATAGATATTTCACTCTTTCTGAACCACTTTTTGGTGCGTTTTTAATCTTAAAACTAAACTTTGTGGCATTAGATTACTTTAGGTTACATTAAACTATATTGTCATTACATTTTAAGAACAATACAACAAAATTCAGTTTAGCATCCGTTCAAGTATAGGATAATTTTACAACACAGATCCTATTTTTGCACTGTGCAAAGCTGCTATTGCTAGTACATAAAGAGTACTATACATTAGGGTTGCACAATATTGGAAATTAGTACGATATTCGATGTGAGTGTTTAGTATTGCGATAAGAACATTATTGCGATATTTTGGTCTTTCACCTAAAATTGCAATTCGCGAAACGCAAGAGACAAATAACAAAAAAAGTAAAAAATTAATTACATAAAATGCATATATATATATATATATATATATATATATATATATATGTATATGTTTTTGTTGTTCTTGTTGAACGTTGATGTCTCTGTCTGTTTTGTTGTCTTTAATAAACGATTTTTTTTTTATTGCGGATATTTTCGATATGGATATTGCACGTACCAATATCGCAATAACAATATTTTTTTGATATATATCGTGCAGCCCTACTATACATCTGTACTATCATTTGTGTACAAAATCACAATCGCTCACTTACTCCTTGGTCCCGCCCACTGCTCTGCCTCAGCCCCCACCTTTGTGTCTAATTAGGCCAGCAGCTAATTAAGATAAGATAAACCTTTATTCGTCTCACAGTGGAGAAATTTCAGTGTCATCGTTGCGCACATTACAGCACAGAGAGGAAATAAGAGCACTCAGATTGCACACATCAAATAGTCTATTATTTAAGATAATAGACAATACAATTAAGATAAGAATAAAATAAAATGAGATAAACTCTGGGCTATAATTGCACTTGGTTCGGAAGTATTTACAGATGTCATTAATTACACACAAAGGGCATGAGAGTGGCCTGATGGAGCTCCTCCAGTCCTCGTTTCCTCAGTGTGTAAATGACTATAAGTTCTATGGTGGGCTTTGCAGAGCTTTTCGGGGGGTCCATTTTTCACAAATCACAAAGATGTACACAAATATGAATGTATTGGTGATGTGAAAATAAATAAATATCTTATGTTAACCATTTTCAGTCAATCAATCAATCAATCAATTTATTTGAGCAGGTCATACAAAACAAAAAACAATCCAATAGGAAAATATTTCAAGAAAAAGTAAGCCGAAGTAAAATACTTGTGTGAGCTTACCCCTCAGTACATGTAATCCCTTTATTTGGTTGATTTACAATTTCAGTGGTTTGCCCAAGACCAAACCACTGATCCACCTTCCCACTTCTCTCCATATTACTCCAAAATTTCCTTCCACCATCAATATGTAAAGTGGACTGGGCTGCTGTATTGTTCTGCTGGAATCAGTATCACTAAAGGATACTGCATGCAAATATTTTTTATTTTTTTTTGCAATTTGTGTTAAACTTAAAACTAATTAACTCCAATCTACTTTGAAATGTTACTATTGCTATTGTCCTAAATGAAAAATCAGTGACAATTTGATCATATGATAAATGAATATGCTCTCTTTCCCTGTCTCTTTTCTCTCGCCATAACAAGGACAAGTCCTCCTATTCAGCCCCATGATTGGTTTCTCTAAAATAATGCTTATAGGGCTCGTTTGGACACTCAAAGACATGACTTCTTTTCACTTTGTACACGCTGATAAGGTACTACTGCCGCCACAGCTGCCATGGGGCAGACTGACAGAACCAAGGCAACCAGTCTGTGCCATCGGCCCCTCCGACCACCACCAACCATTCACACACACACCAGACTCATTCCATCTATAGGCAATGTGGGTGAAGTGTCTTGCCTAAGGACACTACGGCAGTTTGGCACAGCCGCCCCACTGTGGCACCTGGTGTTCCCAGCAGTCACCCATCACAGTACTAACCCGGCTAGGTCTGGGCGATATGGCTGAAAACTATATCACAATATAAGTGATTCATATCAATAATTGTTTGTTTGTTTTTTTGTTTTTCCTAAATAAATACATGTGTTGTGTCGGCTAACACACACATTTGTTTTTACAGTCACTGGGGAATGAGAACTCAGGCTGAAGACAAATGTTCACAAGCAAAGTTTCCCCCACTGTCAGTCCTGGTTTAAACCTGGTTTAGTCCTGATTTAGCTCCTGATTTGGCCGTTTTTGAGTGTCTTGTGTCCCCGTGACCACTTTGCGGCTCTCTGATAGCTGCACGTGTTTCCAGAGGAAAAAGTTAATCTATTGCTTTTTTCGCATGCATTGAGTTGCCGTGCCCACTGCCTCTACCGCGCCGCACATGCTGTTCCTCACACGGACATGCATAAACATTGACACGGCATTGAAACACGACGACTATGGAACCATGAACGCAACGCATCGTCCTGGTTGTTGTTAGTGGGTTTTTTTTGTTGCAAACTCCCAGAATGCCTTGCGGTTTATGCTCGGCCGTGATAGGTCGAGAAGCCTCTGTCTACGTGCCCCAGAATGCCGCGTGCTTTTGACTCAGCTTTACCTCCTGTTTTTTTCTAACGGAGCAAAGTTAAACTATCGAACATTCTATCAACCCCATTTTCGATCGGTATTGAACCCGTGTCTATTGCAATATATATCGTTATCGTTTTATGGCCCAGCCCTAAACCCGGCCCTTCCCTGCTTAGCATCATCGGCCTGACGGGATCAGGCTCTCAAACGCAGGTGGTGCCACAGAAAAAACAATACTTTGAGGCAGAAATATCACATATAAAAATTGAGATTTGCAATTAGAAAGTGGATTATTTTTTTATTTTTTTACTTTGACTATTCTGAAGCTATAGTTTCAGTCTGGCCTCATCGGGTCCTCACTGTTTAAAGCAGTGACAAATGTGTGTGATAAATGCAGCTTTGGTATCTCTTCACTGGTTTAACGGATGGCTCTGTCTCAGGAGTATAAACTGTTTACTCTAAGTCCTAATGGGAAAATGGTTCTGAGAGTGTGGTCCACGAGAAGGCATCAATCTGGAAAAAAATGACAGAATCCGACACAGAATGTATGAATGCGTTGATTTGTAATTGTCGTTTTGTACATTAGTGTCAATCATAATAATCCAAAATAGAGCTAAGATTATGTATTTTTGTGGTCAGTTTATAACAAATCCTGATCCTCAGCCAATGATTTAGAAACATGTTTTAGCAAAGGTTTGATGGATTTACCATTTTGTATTGTTTAAGAAATACTCCAATAACAAATCGAGATATTGTTGCTTTTTTGTCATTATTGCCAAACTCAAGCTGAGTAATGGTGCAGAGGATAGAACATCTTTGATTCAACAACATATGCAAGTAAGTCATCTTTATTTATATAGCACATTTCACAGACCAAGGTCACCCAAAAAACTACAATGATTTTGGAGTTCATATATTTTTCCATTCTCTCCACACAAGTGATGACAGTAGCGAGGGGCTGGACACACTGGTGCATCAAAGCCTCTGACCCAACACCATCCATTCACTCTCTCAATAACATAATACAGCGGTGGGGGAAACCGGAGCACCTGGAGGAAACCTGTAAAGACGCAGGGAGAACATGCAAACTCCAAACAGAAAGTCCTAGAGGTGGAATCTAACCTCGCCGTGAAGTACAAGCGCCACTTCTGCAGCTAAAAGTAGTTAAATGAAATTGTTTTTAGTTTTGTTTAGCCCTACATCACTACAGCAGTTGTCTGGGAGG